TGCAGAATTACAAAAAGTAAATAAGGTGGTAAAGTATATAAAGAACCTAACATGGTACTGGCAGAGAGTAAATTTCCGATAAAAGTTAGTTCCAGTCTTCTACTTTTCCTTCCCTCTTCTACCTGCCAGTATATATCATCTTACCCAGACTTTTAATCTCTCTCAAAATGCTCCACATTCCAAAATGGACTAATCAGAATTCTTACAGTCTCAGCATAACTGTCTCAGCTAAGTAGGAGGAGAAAAGTAAGCTGATTCACCCTGATGATTAAATAACAGTTTTTAATGATGTGCTTTTTAACTTGTAAGTTTTTGATATCTTTTTTTGGCAATACAACAGAGTTCATTTTATCAAAAATCATTCAATCAAGGTGAGAGAAAGGTACATTTAAATTTGTGGGATGGGCCTAAGTGGCTGTCCCAGGAGTCAGTTCTATCCTGTTGCTACTTTTTTGGTTTCCGGGGGGGGAGGGGGGGGATTTTTGTTTTTGTTTTTTGTTTCCTTCATGTGAACCATAGATTGTGTAAAATCTCATTCAAATTTTTTCTTTTTCTTTTCTTCTTGCATTAATTACTTTACAATGAGCTACTATAGCAGCTTTTTTTGTGGGAAGAGAGAGAGCAGGGAAGGCACACCATATGTGAGTTATTTTTAAATGCCTGGATTTATTTGACTGTGGAAGCTAATAAAACTTACAATTTAATGAAACCACACTGTAGGAGAAATCCCACAAATCCTCAGGAGGAATAGCATCATCTTCCAGACAAAGGGGAAATGCCATTCTAAAGAGAACAGCCCCCATCCCCTTGCTTGCTCTATGCCTCTATCCTTCTTTGTAGGTTATGAAAGTAATTAACTTTATTTATGTGGCTTCTCTTCCAGATCTAGGGCCAATGAGGTTGCATGGATTAGATAAAGATGGTGATCATGTGAAAGGACTGTAATTAGCAGAGTTGTTTGTATTTGAAATAAAAAGCAAGATTTGCAGTATGGTAATACAGATCATCAGCCTAGGTTAGTGGCAAAGTGATAGGAGTCTTTCGTAGCAGTTCTACTATATGTAGTTCTACTGAGCAAAAACCTCTGGCAGATCTGGCTAGATGATGGGTTGTCCTGGGGTAGGTATATGGTTACGGTGCTAATTCTATGTAGTTTGTTATTTATACCGTGATACTAAAGGAGCAGAAAGTATTCAGCTGAAAAATCTTCACCCATACACGCAGCCAAAAAAAAAAAAAAAAAAAAAAAAAAACAAAATCCATAATCTCTTCTAACTAATTAGTAATTCATTTTAACAACTTCCTCCCAACCCTGTGAAGAGGTATGACTATTAATTTTTCACATCTTAGTGGGAATTTAATCACATCACATGAACATCTATAGGCAAAGAATAAGTTTTTAGAACTTCCTAAAAATGGGAGTTTTTATTAAGGCAAAAGAAAGACGAGTAAGGTTATCAATTTGGATAGCCAGAAGTTACTTGAAAGTCATAGGTACCTTGGGTATGGTATAGGGGGAACGGTAAGAAGGCAGGAATAAGAGATTATTTAGAATAGAAGATGGCAGGATCCAAAGACAAACTCACTTGGCATTCTGGTGGTGACAGTGGACCACTGAAAATCCTATATGGTGTCTATAGCCTGAGTGCAGTAGAGTTCTCTGTGGATGAATTGAAAATACAAATACTGGTCTGGAAGTTCTAGGCAAATCCTATACAACCCTCTGTTTTTCCTTCTGTTTCCTTCCTTTTGGAAGAAGGTAGAAAAGAGAAATAGCATAAGGAGAAGTAGAAGAGAGAATATATCTCCACTCTCTTTCCCTATTAATTTTTATAGGCCTCTGAGCCCTGTCTTTAGATGTTTGCTATATGTAGTTCTTTGAGGCAATAGAAAAATAAGTGTTGTATAATTTAAGTGAAATATACTCATTATTAGCATCATAGCGTTAACAAAGTTAACAGTTACGTTACAGCAGTACATTTGTGCAGCACCCATGAAAACAAATATGTTTGGGTTGTGTGTTGTTTACATAGTTGAAGCAAATTGTTATTCATTCACTGAATGGGTGTCCAAAAGTTATCTGTGGAATGAATGAGTGATAGTATAGCGTGGGGAGACAGGCAGTAAATATATACACCAACACAAATATAAATTGTAATAAATTCTATAAAGAGAAAGAATAAGGTACTATGCTGCAGAATAACAAAGAAGGACAGAGAGGGACTCCAATGTTTCTCATATGAAGCTTGAAAACCTCCAGTTTTGGCAATTTATTATTGTTTTAAAATGTGCGGAAAACAGTTTTCATATTTTACAGTACTATCAAAACTTGATAATCATCTATGTTTTTTCCCATTGTTTTTTTTCTTTTAGCATTTACTGACCATTCAGACTAAAACTGTTTATTCTCTGTATGTGACATTCAGGGTGTACTTTAGTCTCCAGGCAGAGTAATTTAATTACATATGTGTAAAGTAAAGTATCAAAATATATTAGAACTACTATAATAGTAAGTTTTCTAGCATTTCATAAAAATTTTAGTCTCCAGGCAGAGTAATTTAATTACATATGTGTAGAGTAAAGTATCAAAATATATTAGAACTACTATAATAGTAAGTTTTCTAGCATTTCATAAAAATATCTTTGAAGAGTTTTAAATTTATGCAAATTTCCATTTAGACTGAAATATGAATGTTCGAGTTTATCTAAATCTAATGGGGTAGTAACTTTCACAGAAATTTAGGATTTCAATTATGAAAGTTTCTGTGTCTCCTTTAAGAAAATGAAAAATTCATCTGATATGCACTCCTTTTGTCTTGGAAAATATGGGACAGGAGACCAACCCAGAGCAAGAATGAGATGATTGGAGCAGGTCATAATTTGGTTGTTGATTGAAAGCTTTCCTCTCTCTTAAATGTTGTAGGGAAAAAAATGTTGCCTATCTTTATCTGCATTCCATCATGTTAAAAATATTGTGAAAGAAAAATTTTAATGCCAATTAGTCCTACTGATGGTATTTCACCAAGGTTTAATTTATTCACAGTGAAAGAGTTTTTTGTTTGTTTTATCAGAATAAATGATCATATTTGTACTATTAGGATTTTTAGCTAGATAGTATTATTTATGGCTAGTACTTCTCAGCTACAAATCTTAGTCCTAAAAGTCTACTTAAAATTTGGGGTTTTTAAATTTTTATTATTTTTTTTATTTTTACTTTTTTGCATTTTTCAGTACTCTGTCTAGAAGTCATTTTGACAGGTTATTAGAATAAAAAGTAACAGATGAATGTCTTTTTTTTTCACTGAGGAAACTAGACTATGAGACATATTCCTTACTAATTTGCTGAAAAGGGGATATCACTGATAACAGTATCCTAATACACCATTTTGGGAATTTCTAGGAATCAAGTGAATTCCATTACTGTTAACTGTGGGCAGGCATCAGGATCCCTTTCATGCTGTCATATAGGTGAAAACTGAGGTGTTGGAGAACTGAATCTTCAGCTGCAGCCTGCAAGAGCATAGTAGGCCTTGTAAGGGTAGAAATCCTTCTGCCAAGAAGCTGTATTTATGCTTTTGTTTGGCTTTCATCTTACTTTATTTTGAATGTGAGTTTGCTTTATCTGAGAATTCACAAAAAGGTAATTTTAGTGTTTAGGAGAATTATCACAGGGGTGTGGGGTTGCCAGATTTGCGCGCATACACATATATACACACAGTTACAGAACACCTGATATATCTGAAATATTGCATGGGACATACTTATACTAAAAAAATTATTTGTTTACCTGAAATGCAAATTTAAGTGGGCATTTAATATTTTATCTGGCAGACCTACTAGGATAACTGTATAATTTATCATCCAAACCAGTACACTTTTGAGAGTTAAATGGAGCACTATTAATAAATATGCTAAGACAACAAGCATTAACTGGTACTGTCCTGGGAAAATTGGAAACTATGGTCAACCTAATTTTAAGGGGTTTCGAACAAATTTTTTTTTTTGTCCTTTTCGAGACCGGCCGCACCGCACTCAGCCAGTGAGCGCACCGGCCAAGGTGTAATGCTTTCTTGTCTGTCTTATGACTATCAATTTGCCTGATTTTTGTTTTACTTTTTTCCTTTTTTTAAAATGGCTGTGTGGTATCACCACCACACACACACACACACACACACACACACACACACACACACACACACATCATAATTTATTTATTAGGTTCCTCTTTGGTGGACATTTAAGATGTCTCCAGATTTTTTTTTGATACTACAAACAGTGCTACAGTGAGAAGCCCTGTAGATATCTTTGCACACATGGAGGTGTTTCTACCAGTTAGATTCCTAGAAGCAGACTGCTGTATCAAGGAATTGCATTTACATTTTTGATTAGTTTTACTAATCAGCTGTCCAAAACATAATACCATTTGATACTTCCACCAGTATATCCTTGCTGACTCTAGCGATTATCAAATTATTTAATTTTTGCCAATTTAGTAGGGGGGAAATGAATCTTATTCTAATGTGAATTTCTTTTATGATTGATTTTGAGAATTTGGCAATTTCTGTTTACTGTGAATTGCTATTTGTGTCCTTTACCCATTTTTCTTATGGGTTGTTCACCTTGTGACTGATTTTTAAATGTACTTTTTTTATATTAGGAAACTAGTCTGTGGTAATGTATGTGACAAATATTTTTTCTCAGCTTGTCATTTTTTACCTTTTATGGTCTATAAATTTACATAACTTGATCCTGAAGAGATGAGTGGAGGATGGGAAGTAGTAGGAGTAAATTAGTGAAGGACCCAGATCAGTCAAGCTGCTAATAAACACTTTTTGAATAAGGAAAATGACATGACAAAGTGCTTTTTAATGACATGATATAATTGTGATTATATCTCCTTAGGGGAAAGAAAATATAAATAAAAGACTGCACAATGTTTAATTGCTCTGAAGTGCAATAACTGCTGAAAATATATTTGCTTTATATATTTTTTCCTCTAGAGGTTTTGTCAGCTATGATTAGTGTGCTGTTAGTGTATATACTTATGGGATTCCTCTTATATGAAGCTGTGCAAAGAACTATCCATATGAACTACGAAATAAATGGAGATATAATGCTCATCACCGCAGCTGTTGGAGTTGCAGTTAACGTAATGTAAGCTCTATATTTTTTACATTAATATTTTCAACTACTGTGAACTTAGAGACAAGTGTACATGCATTCAGTAATTTGCAGTGATATTTTCATATTTTTAATTATACCATACAGCCGACCCTCTGTATTTTTGTTTCTGCATCTATATATTCAACTGTGGATCAAAAATATTTGAAAAAAAATTGCGCCTGTACTGAACATGTACAAATTTCTTTTTTTTGTTATTCTCTAAAAATCTTGTATGACAGTTATTTACATAGCATTTGCATTGTATTAGGTATTATAAGTAATCTAGTAAATCTGTATTTAAAGTATATGGTAGGATTTATGTAGGTTATATGTAACTACTATGCCAATTTATATCAGGGACTTAAGCATCTGCAGATTTTCGTATGTGCAGGAGGTCCTGGAACTAATTCCCCATGGAAACCGAGGGACAACTGTATATTAATTTTTCTTATAAAAGTTAATGAAATGCTATGGACATTATGAATTTCTCATTAGTTTGCTGAGGTATACTGGAGGTTAACTAACAATGAGGAATTTAAGGACAACGTTTTTGGTTTAACTTTCAGAATATTTTTCTATCTAGGTTTTTTTTTAACTACTAATTTTTTTTTCCCCCAAAAAAACCTATCATTTTTAAGTTATATACTTAACCACTCACACCACAGTTCAGCAAACTTTTTCTGTAAAGGTCTAGGCAGGAAATATGTTAGGCTTTGAGACCCATACAGTCTCTTTCAAAGCTACTCAACTCTGCTGTTAGTAGAACAAAAGCAGCCACACTCCATATTGTAAGCAAGTGAGCATGGCTATATTCCAATCAAACTTTCTGTACCAAAACAGGCAGCAAGCCACATATGGTCTACTGGCCATAATTCACCAATCCCTGCCCTAGTGGCTTCTATTCATACTTAGAATAAAATCAAGTGTCCTTACCTTAGCCTTTTAATAAGACCCCATGTACCTCTGCAACTCACTTCCTAGTGCTTTTGCTCACTTTATTCTGGCCACAATGGCTTATTTTTTTCAAGTACATGGAGCACAGGCTGGCCAGTTAGCTCAGTTGGTTAGGGTGTGGTGATGATCACACCAACATCCAGGGTTCGATCCCTGTACTGGCCAGCTGCCAAAAAAAAAAAGTACATAGAGCACGTTTTCATTTTCGTGCCTTCGCCCTGCTATTCTTCTGCCATGTGGTGATGATCACACCAACATCCAGGGTTCGATCCCTGTACTGGCCAGCTGCCAAAAAAAAAAGTACATAGAGCACGTTTTCATTTTCGTGCCTTCGCCCTGCTATTCTTCTGCCTTGAAGACTCTTCTACCACTTGCTCCCTGACTTCCTTAAAGTCTCTCTTAGATGGAACCTAGAAGAGGCCTTCTCTGACTACACTACCCATCACTCTCCATCCCCTTACAATGCTTTATGTTTCTTCAAAGTATTTCTCATTGCCTGGATGTATATTTTGTATTTATTTGTTGCTTCTCTGCTTTCTCTACTGGAACCTAAGCTCCTTGGGGGTAAGGATATATCTGTCTTATTCACTGTTTTGACCCCAGCACCTAGAACAGTACCTGATACATAATAGATGCTCAAATATTTATTAAATGAATGAGTTCTGTGTTGCATCATTTATTACCAGGAATTAGTGTCTGACTAGGAACAAATGTTTACCAATAACATTAGGAAAAATAATGTTTTATTTTATTTTAACAGAATGGGGTTTCTGTTGAAGCAGTCTGGTCACCATCACTCCCATTCCCACTCCCTGCCTTCAAATTCTCCTACCATAGGTTCTGGATATGGACATGGACATGGGCAGGATAGCCTGGCAGTGAGAGCTGCATTTGTACATGCCTTGGGGGATTTAGTACAGAGTGTTGGTGTGCTAATAGCTGCATACATCATACGATTCAAGGTAATATGATTGCCAATTTTTCTATTTTAAAATGTGTTTGATTTCAACATTAAAAATAAAGCTGATTATCCTTTGTCAGTATGCTGGACACCAATGCCAGTTCTATTCGTTTTGCATCTACATAAGCTTAGTTGACCATCCATATTTGTTAGCAGTAAACACAATGGTATAACTTCACACGGTAACTTAATCTGTAGCTGGCTTTGGTAGTGCCTTCACTGGAAAACTCAGTCGTAAGTCTTGTCACTGAACTGCTGAAAGATTTGTTTTAAGGGAGGGATGAGGCTCTGCCAAGGGACCTTGGACAAGTCCCTTCCCCTCTGTAAACTTAAGTTCCTTCCCATTTATAAGAGGGGCTTAAACCAAATGGCTGCTAAAAATCCTTGCAGTTCTGATGTTCTGTGAAGGTACAGTGGAGAAGATTTAGAGAAGGTATAGAGGAGAACAGTAGAACAGGCAATTAAACTTCTAGAAATAGGTCCCAAGAGGAAAGTCATTTAACAGTCTGGGAAAGATGTTTCTCAACTACAGTATCCAAGTTTTAAGGATATTCTCTAATACTGGTAAAGCCAAAGAACAGGGGACATATGCCTTGCTTTGTTTTACAGCCTGTTTTATCTTTCTATATTTAATCATACAACTTTGAACTATTACCTTCTAGCCAGAATACAAGATTGCTGATCCCATCTGTACATATATATTTTCATTACTTGTGGCTTTTACAACATTTCGCATCATATGGGACACAGTAGTTATAATACTGGAAGGTAAGATCTCACTAATATTCCCATTAAGGATTTATTATTTCCCTAAAGCAGATTGGGAGTTGGGGGGACACTGGGTAGGAACTGTCTTTTGCATTTTACTGATATTTATTAGGCTATACCTTACATGTTTATAACATACAGATCAATGCACTCTCCCATCTATTACCCGCTTGACCCTTATAATAGCTAAGCAAAATAAGGCAGACAATGGAGTAAATTATCCTCACTTAAAATCAGGAAAATTGAGGTTCAGAGGGATAACATAACTTGGTTAAGGTTATGCTGCTAATAAACTGTGGAGCTAGGACAAGAATGCAACTCTTTTGATTCTCAATGCGAATATGTTTAGTAGTTTAATTCCTTAATTCCCATTTAACTTGTGACTCTGTTGTATTTATGACATCCTTGCCTTACTGATATTATAAGTAAACATGAAAATAAAATTTCTCAACAATAGGTTTATCATCATTGGATGTTTCTCTCTTTCTTTTTTTCTTTTTCTTTTTTTGCCTATCCTAGCTTATCTGTTAAACAAAGTATTCTGGTTTGATTGGCATTCCTTTTTAGAGAGAATGAACATTTTGTTAAGTATGTATTAACCACTTGTATATATCCTACATTTTTAGTAAAAATATATGTGTACCTAGTTTATCTTAAAGTATTTGCTTAAACTGAATTGGCAAAGCCATTTGTTCTCTTTGAAAAAAGTCTTCTCAGTAATGAAAAACTTCTTTTTTTTCCAAAATAAACTTTACATATAAATTATATATCCTGAACTAATAGGTGTACCAAGCCATTTGAATGTAGATTGTATCAAAGAAGCCTTGATGAAAATAGAAGATGTATATTCAGTGGAAGATTTAAATATCTGGTCTCTCACTTCAGGAAAATCTACTGCCATAGTTCATATACAGCTAAGTATGTTGCTGATGGTAAATGGGGCCTGGGATTGGTGGACTTCTATCTCTGAAACTAAACATCTGTGCTTATAATTAAATAGGTAGACTTTTCTGCTGAAAGATTTGTTTTAAGGGAGGGATGAGGCTCTTCAAAAGGTGAGCTTCAGGTCAATATTGATAGCAGAACAATAATTTTTGACCTCTTTGAGATGAAACATTACAAATTGATTTTTACCTTTAGATCAAAGGCATTAAGTATATTTACCATGCTCACCATGCGCTTTTCTACATAAGAAAAGCTAAAGTCTTATGTTTCTCATTTTTTTAAGTCATTTCAGATTGATGCTTTTTATTTTATTTTTTATCAAAATAATATATGCCTGTGGTTTATTTTTAAAGTGCGTTTAAGATATTTTAATGACAGCCTTGTACTTGATGTCTGGTATTCTTTCTCTACCTGAGAGTGGACTGGAGAGATTGGAATAATGAGAAGCCACTTTGGATGTATAAAATGACATACTTCTCTAATAGAGAGGGTACAAATTAGACTAATAAAAATATGTTCACAGTATCTTAAGGTTGGTTTTTTCCCTGTATTTTATCCGCTAATGTGTAACTATGAACAATGAATAGTAATGATATTTTCTTGACATTGCAGTTCCTGGAAGTTCATCTAAATGGGAGGAAGTACAGTCAAAAGCAAAACATTTATTATTGAACACATTTGGCATGTATAAATGTACTGTTCAGCTTCAGAGTTACAGGCAAGAAGTGGACAGAACTTGTGCAAATTGTCAGAGTTCCAGTCCCTAATTTTATATATTTTGGGGACTACTGCCTTATTTATCCTGTAGTCACAGACTTGAGAGCAATAAATGCAAACCTAAATGAGAAAATGGAATCCCTGACAGCTGTGTCCATATCAAGCACCAGTCTCTCAAAACAGTCACTCCAGCCTGACAGTGCTAGTCTCCATTTAATGGCAAAATGAGACTTCACCATGATTTTCAGATGAAGATGTTTCCAAAACAGTATGTTTACAGTATGAGATGTGACTCTACAGATACCTCATAGAAGACAATCCAAGACCATACTTCATTAATTTGACAGAGTACATGTCTTAAAGAAAGCATTAAGAATTAATTATTTGCTTTTAATAATACTTTTAAAGGCCATTTTATATCAAGCCAGTACTGGAAAACTGAATTTTTTTATTATGTCATCTTGGCACCTAGTTTCTGGAATTGCTGCTCTCTTTTTACAGAAATTATTCCTCAACAGATTTCAGAAAGTACTAATAATTATCCAGAGAATGGAATAAGCATGTATTCCCAAGTGTTTCAGAAGTGTTTTATTTCACAAATAAGTATTAATGTTATTGTTATAGTTACTTGATAAAGAGTTTTTTCCAGATGTTGTAAGGTTTTGAATCTCAAAGTTAACATTTTTGATTATTTGTAATCTTAGCAGAATCAAATCTTTACATATTGTGGTCACTGTCATTAAATTATTTAGGAAATATTTTCAATATTATTTTGAATGGCAGAAGTTAGTCTTAAACTCAAATTACTATCTGATGATTTAAAACAAAATAAAGGAGTGAGGATGGAGTATGGAGTTTCAGATTTATGTCTTCCTGAAATCCCTTCTATTGTTCATGGAATTGTCTTAAGAACAGCAAGAGACTAGAAGATGTAAACAATGATCCTCTGTCCCTTGAACTGCCAATATTTTGTACAAAAAATTTGCTTGGTACATTGGTTCCTGCCCTTATTCCAGATAAGCTGTGTATGTCTGTCAGGATAAAACTCTGGAGGGCTAAGGTTCAGTTTATGATACCCACTTCTCACATGTAGATTAACCACATTACTCCAGAGAGAATTTCTATTTTATTAAGTTAGGGATTCTGTATAGACTCCAGAAACTCTAAGATATAATTTTGAGGTTTCCCAATAATACCATAGCAGAAATGTCTGAAGGGATTGAGAGAAGATATTACTTTGAGAAAACAAAAATGTAAAGGGTTTTTGACCTGTGTGTGTGTGTGTGTGTGTGTTTAAAGCACTGGGATAGGGTTGGACATTAAATCTGTTATAGAAAGGCCAAGCGTGTGTGTGTGTGTGTGTGTTTAAAGCACTGGGATACGGTTGGACATTAAATCTGTTATAGAAAGGCCAAGCGTGTGTGTGTGTGTGTGTGTGTGTGTCACTGGGATAGGGTTGGACATTAAATCTGTTATAGAAAGGCCAAGCGTGTGTGTGTGTGTGTGTGTGTGTGTGTTTAAAGCACTGGGATAGGGTTGGACATTAAATCTGTTATAGAAAGGCCAAGCGTGTGTGTGTGTGTGTGTGTGTGTGTGTTTAAAGCACTGGGATAGGGTTGGACATTAAATCTGTTATAGAAAGGCCAAGCGTGTGTGTGTGTGTGTGTGTGTGTGTGTTTAAAGCACTGGGATAGGGTTGGACATTAAATCTGTTATAGAAAGGCCAAGCGTGTGTGTGTGTGTGTGTGTGTGTGTGTTTAAAGCACTGGGATAGGGTTGGACATTAAATCTGTGTTATAGAAAGGCCAAGCATAAAAGTTTCCAAACTGAAGGCAACCTAATTGGTAACAGTTGTGTTAAAGAGGTAGCTGTGAATATTCACATTTCATTTTGCAACCATTGGTTTTGAGGTTATTTTTATGCATATTAGGGGTCTGTTTCCAATAGGGACAATTTCTTTAATGCCAAGAATGGGTATGGTTTTGGGTATCCTTAGATATTCCTAGTAGAGTAACAGTGTACCATGTAAATTATGAATTGAAAAGAATAGGAAACAGTTTTTATCTTCTTACCAAGTACCTTAATATAAGCAAACCTAAGACAAGAAAACCTGGATTTACTTAAAAGATTGTTGGAAGACGGTGATATCAATAGCAGGGTTGATGGTACCTAATAAAACCCAGTAGGTGGTTGTTGAATTGAATTGAAAATTTACCTTATGATATTCTTATTTTAAATCTATTTAAAATATTGTTTTGAATTTTTCAAAAATTTCAGGAGCATATACACTATTAATGCTCTTACATATAGAAGGCAAGTAAGAATAAATGAGAAGCATTTCAGTGGTTACCTGGGCATTTATTGACTTTGGGTATCTAGCAAGAGAAAAGGAAAAAATGTGCACTATGTGCTCATCGTTTTCCCATATCTACTGAGCATGTTTCTTGTAAACTTTCCTTTATCTTATATAGGTACATCTGGCTTTCATATAGGCCTGTTTCTTTAAAAGTTATTTGATAAAGCAGTCTAAAATTCATTTGAAGATTGAAAAGGATCCTTTTGTAAAATACGGAAACACCGAAAACTTGTAAATCTTAATTATCATGTTGTGCTTAAAGTGAGCTATACATGAAGTTTCCTGTGCTTTGCTTCTGTAGAAAGAACTAAATATTTTGTTTTTGTACTTTACTGGGCCTATGAGATTTGAGAATTGGTAGATTTCACTTTTGATAAAACCCACAGAGAAGGATGTTAATTAGCAGATACAACCAGAGACTACACAGCTTCTGACAAAGTGTTTGGTCTATCTCTCACCTGTGGAGTTACTACCCTGTGTTAAACTTCTCAACTGAGCTCTCACAAGAGCTTTCTATTGCCCTATGAAAAGCAGTGGCTGAGTTGGACAAACACATAGCATTGTTAATTTTGCACTGGGAAAATAGATCATAATAGGACAACAGATCACAACATAGAAAGTTGGCAGTTCGGGGCCGGCCTGTGGCTCACTCGGGAGAGTGCGGTGCTGATAACACCAAGGCCACAGGTTCGGATCCCATATAGGGATGGCCGGTTGCTCACTGGGTGGGCGTGGTGCTGAC